GAGAAGAGCCAGAGTTAGTTCTATAACTTAAATTTCTAAGTGGCAAAAAAATTTTTTTTCCGAAGTCTTTGGCATTTTCTTCAGAGAAGCCACCTTGCTGCTGTAGGCACTGTGGCCTGCTCCAGAGGGAAACAAGGCCCACAGGAGTCTGTGTAGTTGTGGAAATGGTTCCATCAATAACCAGTCTCCAAAATGTTTGAACAGAAATTAATGAGATATAGAAAATCAAAGCTGCAGTATCAGCATTGCGCAATCTGGATGGTTCTCTCTGTAATCTGGTCTGATTCAATAACTGTGTCCCACACAGACAAATTTCCTCTGAAATACTATTGGGAAAGTCTGACACTTGCAAGAAGGGCAGAGTTTAAATACAAACCAGGCTTCCCAGTCAACAATGCCTTTTTAAGAAAACCAATTAGAGGCTGTTGACATGCCATTGAAACTTTGTGAGCAGTTAGGCCACAGCAAGAAAAGGAAGATGACCAGGGGAGGACAGAGGGCCACTTGAGAGCTCAAGCTGCTGCCAGCTCTCCGAGGTATTGAACACTGCCTGCTGCCGACTGCTCTGTGTGGCTATTCCCACCACTACCAGGGCACTGCACAAAGCTCTTGGAAAATGGGGTTAAAATACGGTCAGCAGGTGGTATGGTGGTGAAGGCAATAGATTCCACGTAGCTGACTGCAGTTTGAGTCCCGAACCTGACGGGAAATTCACACCAAGTGTGTGTGCTTGCCCTGCATGCCCAAAATCCCAGGAGGAGGCGAGATTGTGGCACAGCCATCCCCCTAACAGGTGATTTTTCACTCTCCGGTGTCTCTCTAGCAAGCACACACCCTGTGACAAAAAAAAAAAGAAAGTGGAGGAGAGAATGTGTCTTCTTTAGGTGTAAGAAATCCATGCATAGTTTTCTAACATACATGTTCCATAAACTTTTTGTAGGTTAATAGACTCACTGGTTATTTGCTTAGAGATAAATTATGAATAGCTGTCATGGAGCTTGCCAGTGTCCAGATAACAGAAGAGAAAAGCAGTATATCCTCCTCTAAGCAAAACATACAGCAAAGATGGTATAAAACCCATTGCCAGGGCTCACTTCAGGTAGCATACACACTAAAATTGGAACAGTACCATAAGATTAACATGGCTCTTGGGCAAGGATGACATACAGATCCTGAAGCACTCCATATTTTTTAAAACTTCATCCTAAACTGGTCAACAGGGACAAAGCAGTGACACACCTGTCATGCCCAGGGAACAGGTGGTGAAGAGGTTGATGATTCAATGAGCATAAATGACAGATTTAAGACTGAGTTTCACAAGAGGTGGAGGTGAGACAGACATTACTGTCACCAGTCTTGAAAGATTCAGTACACACACTTCAGATTAAGATGAAAAGTTAAGTGAGGCTTCTGGAAGTAGGGCTGAAATGGTAAAAGAAGTGATGTGGAAGACACCACCAAAGGGGAGGTACAGGAAAGTGGAGTTCTTGATGCTGTTCCTGTTGATAAAAACCTTTTACTGGAGAAGATGTGGGTGAACTAGAAGAATTAAACTTTTGATTTTGAAGACTAACACCAAACAAAAAGTGAAAAAAAAGCCACCTCAGTGTGAGTTGAAATTGGCTACATATTTTTTCCTACTAGAATCAACAGGATGTTATTTCCCATGCTGATTCTGGAAGGCTTAGCCTTCTCCAAAAAAAGGAATATGCTCCCTATGGACTTTCTTTGGACTTTGACTGTATCTCATAGTAAATTTGGAGTAGTTCATAATAAATTGAAAATATAATGGTAAAAAAAATATTCTGAATTGTTTATCTGACACTTCCACAAGTTCTGTTATGTTGTCTGTGGATGACAAGAAATTGTTCTTTTCCCTTGGGGAGAGATATTTTCTTGGTTGCTCATGTTCCTTGTGCCTCTGTATGGTTTCTAGTTATTTGGTGATTTATATGTTCCTTCCTAAATTCTTCGTGTTAATTCGGAGTGTTCAAAGGCTTGCAGTAGGTGATTGGCAATCTCTCTGCTGCTTTACCTCCCTGATGCTCACCAGCAACCTGCACTGTTGTCACTGGTCTTGGATTATTCAAAGTCCTCCCAATTTCTAGAGAACAGGTGTGCTTGAGACTGAACTACTAAGCTTTAATTCAGAAAGATAGAAGGGGTTCTGTGGTGTGCATTGCATGCTGCATGCTTCAGAAAAGATGGAAGTCTTAAAATTCAGAGGAGTGTGGCAGGGGATAAGCTACAGTCTCTTTTGCACCTCAGTCTCCCTGCATTGGAATGGATGTCCATATGGGGAGGGGAGGGGCACAAAGTGTTCTCAAAATCTCAATCAACACACCTGAGTTCAAAGGCAAGTGGGGGAGGGGATGAGATACAGATCTCTGCCACATAGCCTTCCAGCTGCAAGTGGTCTGCCATATGACAGACCCTTCAATGGAACAAATGTCTAGATAGGGCCAGGAGGGGCATAAGGTCTTCTCAAAGTTGCAATCCACACACCTGAGTGTTCAAAGGTGGGTGGGGGAGGGATGAGCCATGGGTCTCTGCTGTACAGCCTTCCAGTTGCAAGCAGCCTGCAATATCCATTTTAGTTCTCTTCTGTGTATAAGAGAATTTGTGTGTGCTCTGCATACATCTCCTCACAGAGCTCCTCAAACAGATGTGAGTTAAGATGTGTACTTTCATGTGGTTGATAATTTTAATCATATCCTGCAAAATGTTGTCAAGTTCACATGACATTTTTCAGCTGGCCAACATTTCTTCATGGATGACACAGTGCATAGACCACATGCAGACCTCTTTGGCCCAAGTAATGAAATGAAAAAGCCATGCAGTCATTGTACTGTTCTGTCTGTGCATATACAGACACAAAATGATCTAGTTTTGCTGATATGTAATCATTCAAAGATTTTAAAAGTTGTGCAGCTGTGGTGTTAGTTGTCAACAAAAGTGCACATAACATATCCTCTTGAACATCCTCCTGAAAAAATATGTTGTTGCCTTGTCAATATTGGTAGATTCATCAGCCTGGATTGCATATCACGACAGCTCATTAATCCTCTCTAACAATTTTGCCTCAATATCTTCTACTATTTCATCAATTCTAGATATGGTGCTAGCTAAAAGAGGAACATGTGCCAGCCTCTCCTAAAAGTTCATGATAAATGCCCTTATCAGGCAAGACTAACTCTTCACCAATACTGAAGGGCTTTTTAGCTTTAGTAATGTGGTTAGCCACTAAATGATGCTCACAGTGCAGATACATTTGATTCACAGTGCAGATACATTTGATAAAATGGTGGCCTTCAATAATTGCTTCTGTTCTGTTCTTTTTTTCTTTTTTTTTTTTTTAGAGGTTTTTGCTATAGGGCATGTGTGCTCTCCAGAAAGACAGAGACAGAGAAATAGAAAGCAAGAAATCACCCCCCAGGGGGAATGGCCACGCCACAATCCCTTCTCTTCCATTCTCCTCTCGGGATCTTGGGCATGCACGCACACGCACCTGGTGTGAGTTTAAGCCACTGGGTTTGGGACTCGAACTGTGATTGGCTACATGGGAGTTCAGCAACATAGCCATTATGCTAACTGCTGGACCCTATAATTGCTTCTGTTCTTCGTGTTCACAATTTTTTCTTTCTTTTTTTTTTGGAGAGATTTTCACTGTAGGGCGCGTGCGCTCGCCAGACAGACAGAGAGAGACATAGAGACAGAAAGCAAGAAATCACCCCCCAGGGGGGATGGTCATGCCGCAATCCCTTCTCCTCCATTCTCCTCTCGGGATCTTGGGCACGCACGCACACGCGCCCGGCGTGAGTTTTAAGCCACCGGGTCCGGGACACGAACCGCAGTCGACTACGTGGGAGTCCAGCGACATAGCCATTACGCTAACTGCTGGTTCACACAATTTTTTCTTTTGAAAAACTCCAAAAGTATGTCTTTTAATGCAAGGTGCTTGGCCTACAGGTGGCAAAGCAGTTTTGAAGATTTCATGGCTTCTTTAAATAGTTGACACCACATATTACACAAAGCAGGCTTGGAGAATGTGAATTGCCTGCTACAATGGATCCATAATTTAAGTAGGACTCTTCGCATTTTCTTTTAAATGCAGATTTTTTTTGTTGGCAGTCTTAGAGTCTTCTGTTAACTCATTGTGTATCTTTACCACTTTTCAAAGAAGCTGTCCAGTGACTTGTTTTTTTACTCCTTTTGGCTAGAATTAGCCTGTGGGCTTACCAAAACTGACTGAGATAAGTGTGTAGTTCAGGAAAGAGGTGTGGATGGAATTGGTAAATAAAATAATGGGTGGGTCACATGCAAACTAATGTAAGTGTTGGATTCTGACTTAAAGCCTGCCACCAGAGGCAACTGTACAATTGAAGTGCATCAACTCACATGCCACTATAAAGCCTGCCACAAATGCAGCTTGTCACTTGCCACTCACTGATAGGGTTTTGATGAGTCTGTAAGCAATTGATTTGTTATAATCTCTATGCAATCAAACCTCACTGCTAATGGTAATCAGTATTTGAAGCTGCTCCCCAACACTAGCATCATGGACTTAGCTCTACTTCAGATCATTAGGCATTAGAGTCTCATAAGGAGCATGCAACCTATATACCTAACATGGGCAGTTCAAAAAAGGGTACATGCTCCCTATGAGAATCTAATTTTGCCCTGATCTGATGGAGGCAGAGCTCAGGCAGTAATATGAGCAGTAGGTAGTGGCTGTAAATACAGCTGAAGCTTTGCTTACTCACCTGCCACTGATCACCTGCTGTGCAACCCAGTTCCTAAGAGGCCTGGAGGTTAGAGACTCCTGCTGTATATTACTTCTTCCAAGTATTAGAAATTTAGATATCATTGTATAAAGACCAAAAGAAGGGCATTCATATTAGGGGGATAAACTCTAAGCTAATGACTTTTAAGATCCTAAAAGGTGATTTTTGCCTTTGGTTTTATATTTATATTTTATTTTATTTTATTTGACTCTGCAGGTAACATTCAAAAACCAGGCCTCTCGTCCCTATTCCTTCTACTCTAGTCTTATTTCTTATGAGGAAGATCAGAAACAAGAAGCAGAACCTAGACAAAATTTTGTCAAGCCTAATGAAACCAAAACTTACTTTTGGAAAGTGCAACATCATATGGCACCCACTAAAGATGAGTTTGACTGCAAAGCCTGGGCTTATTTCTCTGATGTTGATCTGGTAAGCAGATCTTTGTTGTTTTGGCCACTTTGTTGTTTAAAAGAAATAGTCTTTTTGTTGTGTGCTAAGAATTTTTACATTTATCTTAGGCATAATGAGAAGCTTTAACCAGAGGAGGGTGACATTATATTTGTGTTTTAGAAATATCACTTTTTAATCTGCTGAAGAGGATGAATTGCACTGTGGGAAGAGAGGGATAGGTTGGATTGGCATAAAAGTTTATGAGAAATTCACTCTGGTTCATAGGTGAGAGAGCTTAAACTCATAGAATTGATATCTTCCCTCCCCAGGAAAAAGATATGCACTCAGGCTTAATTGGACCCCTTCTGATATGCCACACTAACACATTGAACCCTGCTCATGGAAGACAAGTGACAGTGCAGGAATTTGCTCTGTTTTTCACTATATTTGATGAGACCAAGAGCTGGTACTTTACTGAAAACATGGAAAGAAACTGCAGGGCTCCCTGCAATATCAAGATGGAAGATCCCACTTTTAAAGAAAATTATCGCTTCTATGGTAATATATTACACACTCAAATATTACTCACCATGAAATGAAGCATGTTCTTTGACAAATGAGCTTTGAGGCAGAAACTGGAATATTATATGAATTGAGAGTACATCTGTGGGAGTAGAATCTTCAAAGATGTCAGTATTGGATGCCTTAGAGGGAAAGAAACTTCTACAACACTTTTTTTTTAATTTGCTAGAAAGGCATGCATGCTCTCTAGAGAGAGAAAGAGGGAAAGTGAGAAAACACTCTCTCTGGGAGTGGATCACACTGCAATCCTTTCTCCATTTTCCCCTCCTTTTGGGACTTGGACTGGTACACACATGTGCCTAGCATGTTTTACAAGTCACCAGGTCTAGGACTCAAACCACACAATAGATTTTAACATCCTTCTCTATGTTCTTCTCCAGCAATAAATGGCTATGTGATGGATACACTACCTGGCTTAGTAATGGCTCAGGATCAAAGGATCCGATGGTATCTGCTCAGCATGGGCAGCAGTGAAAACATACATTCTATTCATTTCAGTGGACATGTATTCACTGTAAGGAAAAAAGAGGAGTACAAAATGGCAGTGTACAACCTCTACCCAGGTATGAGATACTTTATGTTTTGTGTGTACTTGTTGAGTGCTTAGTGTAAATAGTCTAGGCACCTGGAGATACATTTAGTGAACTAAGCAGACCAGCTCCTTGCTCTCAGGTAACACTTTTTTCAGTAACATTAACTTATGGAAAAATAAGTAAGGTAGCAAAAGAACAAGGTAATTTAAAAAGCAGAGAAAACTGCTTTCAAGGAAATACAACGGGATAAATGGATAATTAACATTACAGCACTTCCTTAGGAAAAAAATATATTTCTTTTACATTTTCCATCTCAGATTCGACATGGCACTAGTCATTATCCAAAAAGTGATTTCTTTAAGAATATAACTAATACAGTGATTAAGCACTAGTCAAAATGTTTATCTAAATACAATTTTATTTTGCTTCTCTGCTGTTCCTTTAAAACAGGTTTAATAGTGGGGATAAACTTTCCCTGTTTCTTCATGAAAGTTATGAAAAACTCCATGACTTTTCTACTCACTCTGAATAATCAGCCCTGCAGTCACTTTTTATATTACAAATACAGTTTATGTTAAAAATTGCAATGTCCATTCCAAAATGCTAATCCAAATTCTGAATTTGATTTTCACTTTAATCTTCCCTCCTCTAACTTGAGCCTGCACTGTGCTAGACTTCTGCACTAGGAAAGGAAATGTGATTGAGTCCTCTGTTTCTTACCTTATGCATATTGTGCTCCCCCCAGAGATGATTTCTTGCTTTCTGTTTCTCTGGTGAGTGCAAGTGCCCTATAGAAAAAAATCTCTGCCTCACCCCCCAAAAAAGAAAAAAACTCCCTTTAGTGGCCCTCTCTCATGAAATACCCTTGATCTGATTGGTTCCATCTTTATTTTGGGTGGTCATCTGTGACTCATTCTTTAGCCCCTCAGCATTTACCTCCAGCTTCTTGCTTATGAGGTAACTTTATCCCCTTAGGCAGCCTTAGTAGACTTGATCCACGGAGGCCACATCTGGTAAATGAAAAATATACCTTTGGGGCTGGCGGGTGGCATGGTAATTAAGAGCACTGGACTCCTATATGGCTGACCACGGTTCAAGTTCCGAACCTAGTAGATTGCTTTCTCACTTTCCCTCTCTTTCTCTCTCTCTCTCACTCTGTTCTCCTTTGATAAAATTTAAATAAATAAGTAAAGTTAAATAAAATAATTATTTAAAAAGACAAATATATTTTTAGCTCTGAAAAATCCTGGGATTTGCAGGCCAATCCTAAAGCAATAGCATTCTCCTGTCTCCACCATCAAAGCATTCAGTTGCCCTGTTTCCCACTTTCTGGGAAAGAGGAATGATTAAAACTCAGTATCCAGGTCCTCCAACTATAGGGTGTCACACAGCCAGCACATTGGTTTGAGGAGGTCCAAGTGCAGTAGAATGGAATTTGGGATCTCCTTTGATATGCCACTTAAGGTAATATATTATGTTCATTTATTAGTGAAAAGAAATAATTTTGTTCCTTTTGGTTTCGATAAGGTATTTTTGAGACAGTGGAGATGCTGCCATCCAAAGCTGGAATTTGGCGCATAGAATGCCTTATTGGCGAGCACCTATATGCTGGGATGAGCACTCTTTTTCTGGTGTACAACAAGAGTGAGTATCACCATGGGCAGAGGCTCTTTGCCTTCCCAGCCCACTTCTATAGATTTTCTCCTTCCTGGAATGGTTACTTTGTCAATAAATAAACACAAGTACATGTCTACAATATGTAATGATCAAATAAGGATAATTACTAATTATTATTATTATTACAGGATATATACTTCCTGTACATACTCTTTGTAAATATAAATTTACAGAAAGGAAGGAAGGAAAGAAGGAAGGAAGGAAGGGAAGAAGGGAGGGAGAAAGGAAGGGAGAAAGAAAGGGAGGGAGGAAGGAAGGAATGCTCACATCATTATCAAATATAAAATTAAATCATCAGAGTCCTCATGGGAGGACAAATACTCTTGAAGCTTTGAATACTGAACCTGAAGCTCTAAATGTTTAACAAACTAATACTAAAAAAAAAGTCTTTACCTTCACAATTTGGTGGTTTCAAGAGCTCCAATAGCAGATTTTGGAACTTAAGTGTGATTCAATCAAAATGCAATTAATGTATATTCAAAGACAACTTAGAAATATCCCTTGGGAACTACCAAAGACATTCTACCCAGACTTCACTCTCCTGCCCCCGAGATCTAGCCAGGAGCCAGGACAAACCAATCAAAAGCCATCTATATCTGAGTTCTGAGCGGCCCTATTCAGGAATTAGGATCACCAAAGATCTTCTACCCAGACTTCACCCTTCTGTCCCCCAGAGCTAGCCAGGAACCAGGTTAGAACACCAAATTTATTCTCTCTGTCTCTTCCATCTCTCTATATATATATTTATTATACTTTTTTAATGTTTAAACTACCCCCATAGGACAAGCCCATTAGCAGCCATCTACAGTTGAGTTCGGAGCGGCCCTGTCTGCGCAGTGCAATAGTGCACCACATGGTTTTTCTCTTTTTTTTTTCAATTTTTTTCTTTTTTTAAATTGTTATTGTCCTTTTTTCTTTTTCTTTTCCTTTTCTTTTTTACCTTTCTCACTTTTCTGCTCAGCTTCCACACACTAATTTTCTAGACAGGTCTAGGTGCTCAGTTGACAAATATCTAAATACTTTTAGAGTCATATTAATCCTCAATTTCCATTGAATCAGCTGCAGAAAGGGAGATAAATGGTATTGTTTAGATACTGCAGGTCACCTTCTTCTGCATTTCTCTGAATGCTCAGATTTAACTCCAAAAACTAGGAAAAAACCTATAATCCATTAGATGACCAGAAACCACCACAGAAACACAGAAATATGAAAAACCAAGAAAATATCTCTCTCACAAGAGAAAAGATTAACTCATCCTCCACAGACAATTCAAGGGAACTCGTGAAAATGTCAGATAAAGAATTTAGAATATTCATAGTGACAAAGCCAACAGAGATGCAAGAGAGAGAGACAACAAACTCCAGAAAATGCAAGAGAAAGAAGACAAATGAGTTCGAGGAGGTGAGGAAATACTTGCACCATCTGAAAGAGGATGCATCGTAAAAAAGAATCAAATGGAATTGTTAGATATGAAGGCTATAATACAGGAAATCAAAACCTCCCTTGAAAATATCAAAAGCACATTAGATCATGCAGAAGTTTGAATCTCACATGTAAAAGATAGAATCTCTGACCTAGAAAAGTTCCCCCAAAAGACTGAGAAAAGAACCTCAAAAAGTGATAATAACATATGAGTAATACTAAATAGCATTAAATGCCCAAAGGACTCCACGTAGAATCAACCTAAGAAGTTCTCCAAGGCACATCATAGCCAGATTGACCAAAGCCACAGACAGAGACAAGATACTAAAATTGGCAAGAAAGAAACATCAAATTACTTTCAAAGGATATCCCATCAAGCTAACGTCGGACCTCTCATTGGAAACAAGGCGAACAAGGAAAGAATGGGAAAATATATTCAAGTGTTAAGTGAAAAACAATTCCAATCAAGAATACTATACCCAGCAATATTATCTTTCATACAGGAAAAAAAAGACTACAACATTCTCAGATAAACAAAACCCGAAAGAATTTACCAGCACCAGACCAGCTTTCCAAGAAGTGCTGAAGGGAATGCTATACCAGGAAAACTAACGTTGGACACACAAAGTCAGACACACAGAAACAATAGTACAAGAAACAACCAAGAAAATGACCAGCCTAATGGTAGGGACAAGTATATTGTTGAATGTTAACTTTCAGAGTTTAAATGGAAGATCAGGCCACAGTAACACTGCAAATTCAATAGAAGAGGGATTAATTGCATGAGACTGAACTAGTGAAACAGAATATTTTTAAAAAATAATTATTTAACTTTATTTATTTATTTTAATTTGACCGGGGAAGTGGGGAGAGCAAGAAAGCAAGCTGCCAGGTCTGGGACTTGAACCGCAGTTGACCTTGTGGAAGTCCATTGCCCTTAACCACCATGTCACCTGCTGGCCCCTGAAATAGAATTTTTTTACTTTAGTCTAAAACATTACCTTTTTTTTATATTTTCTTTTATTTCAATTTTTAAGGATTTTTGTCTTCTCTTGAACTGTTGGTAGGTTCATCAACCTACTGTGTGAAGTGAATCCTAACCTTTTCCCTGGCTTTAAGTTTTAAGCAAATTTCTCTTAATTTTTTTAATTTGGTCTATTAAACTAAAACTTTTTCTCGAAGTTAAAAAATGCATTAAAAATATCTATTTAATGACTTCAGTAAGCTATATATCCCCAGCTAGGTGCTACTTTATAGTACGTTCCTTTACTCACTGAGGTTTACACCTAACATCAGACATGTGTTCATAGATATGTATATATTAGCTGTGCTTGCTATCAAAAGTTTTTAAAGATCTTTAGTGAATCAATAATATGTGAAAAAAAGGCATGGGAAACAACCATAGATATTAGAGACAGTGTAGGAGATGGGGCAGGGAATTGGCAGCAGGTGAGAGGTAGGGAATCAAGGGGGAAATAAAAAGCAAAAAAGAAATAAGAAATAGAAATTTATTTGTTGATGACAACATGTACAGTAATAACCTTGATTCAGTCAATATACAATGTATTCTGGATGGAAAATTAATTTTGTATACTGTATTGTTGTACAGTGGATGACTAAATAAATAAATATTTCTAATATTTATATGTGTGTGTGTGTGTGTGTGTGTGCGTGTGTGTGTGTGTGTGTGTGTGTGTACATATCCTTTGTAAGAGTTTGGGGCTTTAATCCTAAATAAGTAACAGAACTCTTACATATCCCTTGTAAGAGTTTGGGCCTTTAACCCTAAGAGAACCTCTGGTCTACTTATGTATGGATCCTAGTTTCCTCAGTGGCAAAGTGTGAATAGTATTAGCACCTACCTGTTAAGATTAATTAAATGAGATAGTACAATAAAACATTAAATATAGTTCCTGGCACGTAAAAACAGTTGAAAATAGCATTTGTTGGTACTCTCTCATTTTCATTGACTTATGTTTGAGAAGTTTCATTTTGTATACTTCTGGCTATTGTGTTCCCCCTGTTTGATTTCAGTGTGTCAGACACCCCTGGGATTGGCTTCTGGACACATTAATTATTTTCAGATTACAGCTTCTGGACAATACGGTAAATAAAATCTTTTTAAATTTCTGTGGGGAGTTTCAGATAACCAATCCAACTCCGTGTTTCTATTAATTCTACTTCATAGGTGCCTCTCAGCTCCATCTTGTCCTCTCCATTTCTCACCACATCCATCTTTTTAAATTTTTTTCTTTTTGCTATAGTGTATGTGTACTCACCAGAGAGAAGTAAAATGAGAAATCACCCCTCAGGGGGCATGATCCCTTCTCCATTCTTTTCTCAGGATTTTAGACATACATGTACATGCATGCACCTGGTATGTTTTTCAACTCACCAGGTCCAGGACTTGAATCATGGAGTTGTCTATGTGGGATCCAGAACCTTAATCACCATGCCACCTGCTGGTCCTCCTACTGTAACCAACTTAATTTAGGCCACCATCCTTTCTCACTTAGGCACTCCTTAAATATATTCCCTATTTTCAGTGTAGCTCCCCTTGGGTTGATTCCCTTCACTGTAACAAGAAGCTACACTTTCTTATGAGCAATGATGGCAAAGCTTGAATGGCATCTATAGAGAGTTTCACAGGCCAAATTTAGTCTACCACCTATTTTTGTATGGCATGTGAGCTAAGTACATTTTTTCCTTTTTTAAATGATCAGAGGGAAAATAAGAATATTTCATAATGTAAAAAATATAAAATTCAAATTACATTGTTCAAAACAAACTCTTATACTGAAACCCAGCCATGCTCATTCATTTACATGAATTCAACACCTATATCTACAGCAGCAGTTACATAGTTGCAACAGAGACCATATAATCCGCAAAATTTAAATTATTTACTATCTGGCCCTTTACAGAAAAGTTTGCCAACCCATGTTTTAGAGTGGAAAAAAAAAAATCCCCCTTGGAAAAGACGTTTAAGCTTGCGGGATGGTAGTCTGATGATTAAGGCAGCTGGATCTCACATGGCCAACCACAAGGTTGGTTGAGAAACATGCTGGGCTTGTGTGTCTCTCTTTGGTGAATACATGCACCCTTTGGCAAATTCTTTTACAAAAAAAAAAAAAAAAAAGAAAGAAAGAAAGAAAGAAAGAAAAAGAAGCTTGAGTTATATACCAAAGTAATATTTTTCTCTAGGTGGAAGGATTATATTTTAATTTCTTTTATTTTTATGTTTATTTATTTAATTTTTATGTCTTGAATTTTTTTACAATGAACATATATTGTATAATAAATGAATGATACTATTTGGTAGTGCCCATAACAACATCCAGTATCAGCTAATTAGAGATACTAAAGATCAACAATATAACTAAATTTTAGAAAATAGAATGGATAAACAAAGATAAGCAAATCCCTTCTACAGTAATTTCTACTGCTATGCTATAAGGAGCCTATATCTTCATCTCTCCACAGCTAGAATTAACCTTTCTTAAGAGACTAATTTTATTCCCAGGTGCCTAGGAACAATCTAGCTGAATTTAATCTCTCTTCCCTTTTTTTTGGGCAAAGGACAATGGGCCCCTAAGCTGGCCAGACTTCATTATTCTGGATCAATAAATGCCTGGAGTACCAAGGATCCCTTTTCCTGGATCAAGGTTAGAAAAATTAATCAATGATGGGGGGACCAGCAGGTGGCATGGTGGTTAAGGTACTGGACACTCCCACATGGCCGACCACGGTTCCAGTCCCA